TTGTGTTTCCATAAAACCAATGTCACGCGCATGTGTCGACTCAAACAAGTGAAGCTTGTTAGCCCGGAAACCAAACCAATGACGGACGCCATCGGGAAGTGTGCCGACAATGCTACTCCCACGCAAATCTACTTTCTGCCCTCATCGTCTCCTTCCATCTTGCCAGCTCCGCATTCATCTGCGCCATTGCCGTCGAGTGCACTTGCCTGCCATCTGGCCCAGGCTGGCAAGAATTTGCAGAACACAGCAGGCCTGTCAGGAAGAAACTGGCAAGAGGACCGACCATGTGATGCAACCGCTGTCTTGAAAGCATAATGCGCGAGGATGTCAAGATGACTGATCGCACGGACGTCTAGGTATTAGGTATGTGTTTGCGAACGCCAAAGCATTCGTGCTGCATTCAGCAGACTGGGTGGTTGCAAAAACAAACACCCAAGATTCGGAAGCAACAAGCCATGGGCCGCTCTGCGCAATGTAGAGCAAACATTGCTGCAATCTGCTGCAGCCTCCAGTGCCCGACTCGGCCACGCTGTAACAATAAGGACCCTTCCTGAACCTGGCCAACCAAACGCTGCCCAGAAGTTCGCATGAGTGAGCCTCAGCTTTCTTCATCAGTTCATGCAACTTTTCGAAGTGAATAAGACTCTTCTGCTTTCGTTGACAGGGAGGAAAAGCGTAGCCGCGGCCTTCTCGATGCCAAACCGTGCTGGGCCGGCACCAAAAGTAAACAAATATTATTATTATTGTTCATCAGGGGGTTGTTCAGCTTCAGTGGCTTCATTAGGTATCTATTGGTGTATACTCCATTGCTCTCAACTCCCTTTTTTGGCTTCCATCCCGTTTTGTGCTTCAACCGCCATCTTGTGCGAATGTTTGCTTGAATTTTTAAGCCGCAACGTTTCCCTCCTCACTTCCCAAGATGGGCCAAGAGTTCAAACTCGATCGTAAGGCTCAGGAACTCAGTGAGACGGAGCGGACCGGTCCGCCTGAGGCCCGCCGCCTCCTTCTGCAGCGCCCGCAGTGCCGCGCCGGAGCCAGCCAGACGTCGCAGGAGGCGCCCCTTCCGTCGATTTGGACTTGGAGTGGCTTCGTGGCGTTTTCCCGAGAAAACGCTCGGCTTTGGATGGTGTGAGGGGCTGAGTCCTATGCAACCCTCCTTGCCGGGCAATTCTGCTCTAACCTCTCCATCTTTCCACCCGGGCAAGAACAGAGAAACACATTGCCATGCAACAAGTATATATCGATGATCATTCGTCTTTCGCGGTGGCCTGGAGCTTCAGGTCAATCAACATGTTGGCTCAACGGCCAGCAACTGCCCGTCGTTTCAAGCATCTTCTACAAAACAGTGACGTAAACCCAAATTCGGACACCGCTGTCCTTGGGTGGGGGAGGGTTCGGACAAGGGGGGGATGATCAGCTTCGGTTTCCCTGAAAAGGAGGGGGATGATCAACCCATAGAATTATATGCGCCGTAGCCAGTCAGAAAAACAATTAGATCGATTTCGAGCATGATCAAAAGGGGTACCCTTCATTCGTTGGACGACACGTTGCTTTGTGTGAACCCTCAAGTTGCTCCAATTTGTTTGAGTAACACCCTTCAACTCTTTGATAGGACTCTGATGTGCTTGGGTAAAGCCCCTCAGACGGTTGCATATAACTTTGATTTGTTTGGGGAGCGCTGGACGTTGAGTGGGAATGTGTCAAAGCTTGTTGGACCCCTCTGGGCACGGGTTCAAGATTGAACTATGATGTCCATCTGGAGTTGATATGCGGGGAGGTGACTGGCGGTTGCGGTCCGAGTCAGCTTGTCGCAAGGCCTTTGGAGTTCAAGCAGGCTGTTTCCAAACAAACAAGCACATTTGCATTGACTCGTTGGTCAGGCTCTTTGTCACTTCCTTGGAAGCCTCATGTTTCGCTCGTGCGCATATCCACCTTTGTCATCCCTGTGTTCAAGGGAGTACCCCATCAACCTGCAAACTAGAGTTTGGCCCTTATGGGTCTGTGTTTCTAGAGAACTTGTTTGGGGGTTGTCTTTTTGGTTGGAAAACCACCTGCGCAGGTCCCCATTTTCACAAACCCCAGCGGGACCTTCTCCAGCTGGTGCTCCTCGCGTGCTCGCGAAAGAGTCGCCTGCCGCGTCATCCTCGAACCAAGTGGGTAGTTTTGATGGGCGACACTTTGCTGGACAACCAACGTCCATTCGGCGTTTGAAGTTATGGCGTCTCAAAATGGTGAGCCCCAAAATGTTGGGGGGGCCAACCCCCTTGTCTTGGTCGTCTTAAACAACGCAGAAAGAGGGCGATCCCAACAAAGAATTGCAAGGGTGCTCCCCTCATGCTTCGGACTGACCCTGTACTCCAACCCATGTGCTGGTTTCGGCTCAATTGAGGCAGGCGGGCGCGAACAACGGGAACCACTTGGCGAGAGAACAAAGGTATGCTTCAACAACCCTGCAGGCCATGTCCATTGGTGAGCTTTCCTTCGGAGGAAGAATGGTAGCCACGAGTTAACTCCACACGCCGCGGTGCTCAAATCAGGGAGCCAACCCCTAAACATGCAACAACTTTTGGTCAAGCAGGGCTCCTTATACGTCCCCGAAGCACCCCACCAGAAGGAGACTCGCTTAAAATCGGACCAACAAGGTGAGTAGTACCACCCTAAATCCAGCGGGCGCCTCGTGAGCCCGCTCCAACTCTTGCAGGTGGGATGCCTCCAAAGATCAAAGGCAGTCGAGGCATCTTAAAGTGGGACCCCGCTTCGGTCAGAGCCTGTGGTTGTTGGAAAGGAAGCCAAAGCAAAACTCGCCTTCGGCTTGGGTGCTTGGAGGCAGACCTGTACACCCGTCGTCATTTCAAACAACCCCGAAACGGGTGAGTAACCGCAGCGCATGTTGGCAGCTTGCCTGCTCCCTCTTGAGTTGCACGGCCACTTCCTCGACAGCCCCGTCACTCTGAAAGCGAGACCTGCAAGCTCAAGCAGTCTGCCTTCCAAAATGAAGTTCAAGTCGGGCACAACTTGCTACAATGCAGGGTGTGCAAGGCACCAGGGAGGCTGAAGCTTGCTCCGGCTGAGATACTCATTTTGCATCCGCGGAAAAAGAAACAAAGAAGCAACTGCAAAAGCGCCCATTTGCCGCTCAAGCGCCAAATCTTGCGGAGATGCGCCTGCTAGCTGGAACATGCACATCCACAAAATCAACCAGTGATAAACATTCTCATCACTGATGAAATACAAAGGGCTTGGCAGTAGGCCGAAGGAAGATTTAATTCTCACATACACCCTTTCGACATAGTCATGGAACTCTGCGCAGCATCTCAGCAGGTGACTGTGATGGCGTTGTCCCCTATGCAGCCTCCACTGGCAGCGCTGACGGTTGCATCCATTGCCGTTTTGAAGTTGGAGTCAGAGCATGCACTTCACATAAGTGTCAAGGGCACTGCACTGGCAGCGCTCGTGTAGGTTGAAGCACAATCCGTTGCTGACTGCGTGTTGCATCCACAGCCCTGGAGGCCAAGCGACAACGCCGCCAGCAAAATGGTCAGGAATTTTGCGCGAACCACATGCTGACAGCCGACTGCACCACAGTTTGCTAAAGAGCAAGGGAGCAAGGGAGCTACGCTTGAATCAGCTGCGGTCACTCTCTCCCCTTTCACTAATGGCCTGTCAGCTTCACAACTGGCACATGTCGCCTTCAAGCCTTAACTACCAACATGCGGAGGTGGGACCATAAAGGGGTCCACCATTTTGGGAAACCCCCTTGTTAAGGTCTAACACGAGAAGGGCTGGCTGCCTCCAATCTTGGCAACCGTGCTCCAGTGCTCCCCGAAAGTGCCAAACAAACACGGCAAGAGGAGGACAAGTTGCCAATTTAATTTGGGCGGGTGCGCACTTGACGCGGCATGTCTCAGGGCCGCGCTGCTCCAGACGAGAAATCCTCAGATATGCCACTATGCTCCACGAGTCTGCATTTGGGGATATGCCCCAGTGGACAAATCCACCACTGTCTGAAAGCACACCAAGTTGATATGTGCAGTTTGCCAAGGCCAAGGAAACCCAAACAAAAAGCCTCCCCCTCCGCCGATTTGGGTGTGTCCGTTTTTGGGGACCCTGATTGGGGTGATTCAACAGGCAATTCAGGAAACCACCTGTTTTGAGGGCTCCCCCCCCCACTCACTTTTTGAGAGGATTGTTGTGCTTGCTGCTAAAATTGTATGTTCGCAAAAAATAAAGATCAGGAACTGGCTCCCTATTTCGATATGTGTCAAAATAGGGGGACCCCTCAAAATACATTGCCGCTTTTTGCTTCCCGTTACCCCAACCTAAAAAGGTTACCCTCCAAAACCACACTCATTTTGAGACCCACCCATTCGGCTGCGAGGCTCTCCAGATTGGCGCTGCAGCCGCGCTTGCAACTCCTGCTCCTCGATTTCTGTTTTTCGGAGGAAACCCAAAGGGTCTGCAGCCGGGAAAAAACGGCACGGCCCCGCACTTTTGGTTAGCTTGAAACCGCGTACAAAGAAAGGCAAAAGGGCACCACTGGAAGTCTGGGAAAGGGTTCGGATCATCTGATCACTTTCCTCATGACTCTCAGTGGTCTGCCTGAACCATTCTTGGCACCCGAGTGGCCAGCACCAGGTATCAAACATACCCCGCACCATGAAAGGAATCAGCAGTCGCCTCTTTTTTTGGTTGCTGGCATTGACTTGGAGCAAGAGGAAAAACGCAGCAGAATTCCGTGCAACTCTGCCATACAACCGGCCACGAATATGTTACAAGCATGAGTTCCATCTGTGTTGCACACCTATGCCACCGCAGGTGGAAACACAGCAGTCATCGAAAGCAATCTACTCTTACAGTTTCGCAATCAAAATGCATGCCGGCTGCATCGCAAAAATCACAAAATCTAGAGACCCTCCAAATGAGTTCCCGTGCCTATCTCCAGTCACAAGCCCGTCCTGCGCCTGCGCTTCATCCCGCGCCTTCAAGATTGCCTGCCATCCGACGGTTTCTGTGCTGCAAGCCTCAAATCGGGTCATGGCTTCCAGGGACAGTTAATTTGCCCAAAACGGGGTTGGGGGGCAAGCAAAAACTGGAACCCTGCGAATCCAGGCTTCATGTGGTTTCTTTTCCTTTGAGTTTGGAAGCCGCCTCTTTCAGCAAAAGTGCTGCTTCAGGTGCAACACGAGGTGCCATCAGTGCGCCGCACAACCAACCCATCGCCCCTTCGGCCTGACGCTCAAACCTTGGCCATCAAGTTCCTGCCCTCGACATGGAAGCGAATGCATGTCGGAAGGCCCAACTCTTGAAGACATGCAGCGAGTAACGCCTTGAGCAGAAAACAAACAAACATAACAGATGCCGCCTTCTAGGTAGAAATATTTACACATTTGCATGTCTAGTCGATACACGTATGTATACATAGCTGCGGAAACGGAAACTGCGTATGTTCAAATGATGCGCCTGCAGCATGCTAACACCCCTTGGTGGCAATAACCAACAATGAGACTTCCATAAGAATCCCCTTTGTTCTCCCTTTGCTTTCCCTTTCGAAACACCCAAAAACCTGCTGGTTGCAACGCCCATAGTGCGGCCAAGTTTTCCCCCCCGTTTTCGGACAAGTTTGGCACACCCCAACCCGACACCGGGACGACGTTTCAAAAACATGTTTGCAGTCCCACCTGTTCTAAGGGCAGTCCTAAAAGGGGAGTTGCATTGTTTTAGGGAACACATCCCCCCGCCTCCGGCGCCCCACGCGCGCGCGCCTGGTGCCGCTCATTCTGCCGCGCCATCTCCGCCTTGAGCGCCCCCTTGCGCCGGCGCACCTCGGCGGTCGTTGAAACGGCAACTGCGTTTTCAAGACGATCCCGTTGGAAAGGGTTTCCCTTGTAGGCCATCCACTCAAATTGGAACGGGAACTGCGGTCACCAATTTCGCAGGCACCGAAGAGATTGGGTTTAAAACGACTTGATGTAGTTTGTATTATACCACAGGGTTGTATATACCAGCTTGGGTTAACAAACACTCATTTGAAATTTGGACCCTTTGAAAAGGGCGTCATGGTCTCCAAGAGAAGCATCGGCCTCCAAAAGGGTCGAGCACAAGCCATGAGGGTATCTCTGCTCCCATGGTCCTTGCATCATGATCTCCTCCAATATAAGAGATTCTCCGAAGGCATGGCTGAACACATTCCTGTAAGAATGATTTTGTCCTTTTCAGAAGAATCCCGACGCGCAACCTTGCAACGACGCATGAGCCACGGAAGTGAAGCCTCCAGGTGGGTGACGCTTCCATGTGTGACAAGCGTTTTGGAGCTTGTGATGCCGGTGCGTCAAAATAGGGGCCCAAATTGAAGCTTTTACTTAAGACCCTCGCAAAACACAACCCATTTAAAGAGCTTGTGCCAGTTCATATATGATGGTTTCTTGCGAGACATTGCAAAGCAAGGTTGGCTTGCGCACGAGGGCAACTGGCGTTGACGACAACGCTGCATAAGAATGTGCCCCTATTCGCCAACAATGACGCCGAACCGCAATCAGACCTTGCCCGCTGAAAGCCGACCCTCCATCGCACACACCCCATCCTTCCCATCCCTCCTTCTCCCATCTCCCATCCTTCCCATCGCTCCCAACTGTCCGAATCCAGTTTGGAGAAATTTCCCCTCCCCTCCCTCGCGCTTCAAACTTCAAGCTTCCCTCTTGCCGCGGCGCCGTGCTGAGCGAGGCGGCCAGCGCCTCGTGGCTGCGCGCCGCCGCGCTGTGGGGGCTGGGCCTCCGCAGCTGCTCCTAAGGAGAGGTCCCGTCTCCCTGAAAACAGGAAACTCGGAGCAACCAGAAAAATGTTTAAAACCAAAGGGGGGGAAATAGGGAGCCTTGGTGGGAAGTGGGCATCTTAGACTCCCTGTAGGTAAACTTTTAAACTATGGAGGAGGCCCAAAGGCTACAGTTCTTTGATATGAATGCTTACTGGTCAAACGGCTAAGCAAAAGAGCAACCTGTCGAACCGACTCTTTTCGTCGGCAGAACTTCCCTTTGCTCTCCTGCACGTCATCGCAGAACTGCCACACTTGGCGCTGGAGCCAGTCGCCCGCCGGCTCTGCCCTGCAAGCGTCCTAGCAGGCCACATGGGTCCAAAAAGTGACTCAAAGATGTTTCACACCACAAAGAAAACAAATTACACCAGCGTAGACCCCAAACAGATTGTAAAATCACAACGATGCACCACGCAGGCTGTGCGCCAATAAGGAACACTTTGTGCGACGACACTGGCTACGATGATGCGCCAACAAGGAACATGTGCGTTGACGGTGAACACGCTGCTGCGCCAACAAGGAACGCTTGTGTGCGCCTACAATGGATATGCTTGTGCACCAAGAGAGGACACTTGTGTGCGCCGAGGATAGAAACGCTCACACGCCAACAATTAAGTGGCCTGCAGAAACAGGCGCAAACAGGCGCGAGTAAAAAATGAAACTCTCTTGTGCGCTGACAGGGCAAGTGCGCCGACCGCGTTGTGCGCCGACAATTCGTGCGCCGACAGTGGACACGCTTATGCGCCAACAGTGAACACTTTTATGCGCTGACGGTGAACACGCCTAGGCGCCACTCTTTTGCGCCGACGGTGGAGGAACACTTGGGTGCGGACGGTCAACACGCTTGTGCGCCAACAAGGACAACTCTTGCGCGTCGAACGCTTATGCGCCGGCGCCAACCATCAACACTTTTATGCGCCGAAGGTGAACACGCTTATGCAAGCCACAGGCCCTCTGCGCGCGTTGCAAAGTGCCTCGCTGCGCGCGACATCCACTCCTGTGCCTGAACCATCTCCCTTGCGGATCTCCACCACTCGGCGCTATTTGACATGAGCAACGGCAAAGCCCCAGGACCACCATTTCACCATCGCAGTCACATCGCCACTGCAACTGCAGGTTGTGGCCAGGATCTTGCGCAGAGGCTGAAACCACTCCGCCCAGTTGAAATCCCTGGTCGCGAAAGTGGCGGGGGCCGCCCAGGAAAAAAACTCTACGTTGCTGCCCCCGAACCTTAGAATGCTGGATGTGTGCAAATCTGACCCCACGGGGTTGTACTGCTAATGCCTGGTTTTCGCGAATTTTAAAAAAAAACCGGGCATTGCGCGCTAGACAATGGAGCGTCTGGTGAGCTCGCATCACGCATGCCTGTAGAGGTACTGCACTCAGGAACATCAGTGGGAACCGCCGGTGTCTCCGGCCTGTTTTCCGCAGCAACGTCCATATTGTCGTCCTTCTCTTCAACAGTGGTCAGGCGCCCGCTTTCCGGCTTGGATTTCCTGAGCTCCTCGGCCTTCGTCTTGGCTGCCTGCGCCGCCTTCTTTGATGCTGTCGCTGTCCCTTTTTTTTGGAGGGGGCGGCCCCGCCTTGGCGACACAGACCACCTTGGAGTGTTTGGAGGAGTCTCCTGGGTGGCTTGCAAGCTTCGCGGCCTTATCGGGGCAACGGGCACAGCCTGTCCGGTTTGCTTTTCACGGGGAACCGGCCCACAGAAACAGTTCAATGCCTTGACCTGTCGGGCCTCAGCCACCTCGCGTCTCAGGCGGGGCTCTCCAGCAGCAGCAAAGCATCCGTCATGCGCAGCGGGGAAGGGGTCAACGGGCTGAGAAGCAGACTGGGCTGAGTGGGCCTGACCTGGGCTTGACAAGCAGCAACCAGCCTGTCGAACGGCCAGACACCTCCACATTCATATGTTGGATGCGTAGGCAAAGTCCTCATCCCATGCACCGAGCTGGACCCTGCCAGCCAACGGCAAGGAGTCCAAACCCTACCAGCCAGATTTGGGACAGCCAAGGGTTGCGGCAAGCCCCATCAACTTCGCATGCAACACAGAAATGCCAGGAGCAAGGATCGCGCTAACTTCCGCTAACTTCCTGTTTGAAGACAACCGTCTCCCTATCTCCCTCTGCGAACAGGCATTCAAGAAGGCGCTGAGCCCCCACACCCCCCGTACTTTGATGGGATGAGCAACGCAGGCATGCGTCGCCTGGGCATGGCGGCAAAAGACCCTTCTGAGCCTACCTGAACGTCGAAAGGGGGAGGAGTATGATCGCCGATAGTTGTGCACCTTGAGCCAACGATGGCAAGATATACACTCTTCTTCCCTGCTCCAAATGACTACCTGACACCGTACCTGCCCATCAGAGCACTGGAAGGCACATACAAGTAAATGTGCACACTGACGAGCATGCGCAGCGATCTGGCAGCACTGGGAGACACATGAAGGCACATACTGGGAGACAAGTAAATGCGCACACTGGCGAGCATGCGACCCGGCGATCTGGCAGCATGCGGCCCATTCTTTTTAGAAGAGTAAAGAAACTCAATAAGAAACCTTGTGGGGCCACGAGTCTTGGCCCCGTGCCCCTCATTGCGGAGGGGAAAAGGGATTCCCGGCAGTGGGGGGGGGGCTTAAGACAAGAAGGCAAACAAAAAGTGAGGGTTCCCTGTGAAAGCCCTTGCTTGTAAGCAACGTTTGCTGGCTTGTTGCCAAGTTGACCAATCATTTGGTTGGCGCATGATGCCCACAGTCACTATAGCTGAAATCTCTCAGTTAGACTACACGGTGCTCAATTGTGTCAAGCCCAACATGAACGGCTGTGTTCATGACGGAACTGACGGAACTGGCCCCCCAAACTGGACCTATCAAAAGGACCCAAGATCAGCATTTCGAAATGAGAGGAGGGCGGGTGGCAAAAGCGGGGCCGGGGCGCCCAACTTGCCTTGGACATCTCCTGCCTGCCGCCCTACGTGGGTGTGAAACCAAGCCAGAAACATCGAGACATCTTTTCCTGAGATGCCCCAATTGTTGGCAGCCAACCTGATTTCGGCACCCCCCCCCCCAAAAACAAAACAAAAAGAAGACCGCGCCAAACTCTCAAAAATAAGATCAACTCCCAAAACTCCAAAAACTAAAATGACGCTCGCGCGCCCCTCCTTGAGGCGCAGCAGCGCCAGGTTCAGGGACTGCGCCAGCACCTCTGCGCTGCACTTCAGCTCCTCCTAAGGCGCGGCTGGTTTCCTCCCTGCTCTTTCGGTTGTAGCAAAGCCTCTCGCTAGGGCCTACTGGAGCCAACAGTCAATGGATTTTGGGTGTTTTGTCACGCGCCCGTTCCAACTTGATCCATGAGGTGACAGGTATAAAGTCCAGGGGCGACTTTGGGTGTCCATTCAGGCAGGACGCTGTCATAGTCTTGTTACAGCTGGGGATGGGTGGGTTCACAGTCCACAACCATGCTTGTTCCAAAAAGAAACCTACATGGTTGATTACTAGGTTCTTGGGCCCCCTGGAAAGAAAGAACCCAGAAGGATGGCTCATGCAGGAAAATGATCTTTCGGGGTCCGAATCCAAGACGACCCGGTAGAAGTGTGAGCTATTGGTTTGGCCGGCGCACATACCCGTATTATACGTTTGTCACACAGCTCAATCCGCCTCGCATTCTGAACGACTGCAATAGTGCCAGAGATATGAGATATCTTCTTGCTTATCCCAGCCTGTCCTTTCACTCGGAAGCCCAGTGGCTATGGGGAAAACGGTTTGGGCTGATTTCAAAGACAAACGCATCTCGAAAGAAAGGAAAAGACTGGAACCCAGTGGCCAACTGAATCACGCTTTCCAACTGGAAAGACCCTAAGCTCCGAGTTCCGCTCCTTGGCAGCAGCCTCCGCCAGGATGCGGTGCTCCAAATCCTCCACCTGACGCAAGAACGAGGCCAAGGCCGAACCTGTTCGGGTACCCCAAAACACAAGCTGTTTTCCTGTCCCTCTAACCAACCTAAGAAGGGGATTTGGGGGACCCATGGGGTTTGACCAACAGGTTCTGGCGGACACGTGATCGTCCCTTGGCGCAAGCTGGAACCTGCTAAACGGGTGCCATGACTACTTATAGCTGGGACTGTCCCCTAACCTTTTCCCCCGGCTTGGATGGCACACCTGGCAAGGTGGACATGCAACAAGCATGATTCACGAATCCTTTGGAGGGGTCGAGTGTGAGTTTCAACACATCGTATGGAGGTCCACCCCAAATGGACACGCATTGAGGGCCACTAAATGCCCGCGGCAAAGAGGGGAAACGCAAAAAATGGCCGCAGCCCGAAAGCAGGCTGCTTTCTCGCCAGAACCATGTTCGGAAGCTGGACAGACTGCCTTTCATTTACGCCCACATTTGGCTTGCTGCATGCCATTGTTTCTTCCATCGTGGACGAGGGACGCAGAGGACAAATAATCATACGACTTTCCTGCGGAAAGCACCAGTCTCCCGTGTTTCAAGCAAACAGCCAGCCTCGGTAAGGCCTGACAATTTCGTCATGGCAACGGTCCAAAAACATGCCCTGCTGTTCAGAATCCTGCAAGTACTATCTGGGCAAGCTTGGTTGTCCCCAGTTGCTGTTGATTCGCCGTGAAACAGGTACGAGTGGCAAACGTTGTCTGAACATGTGCGCATGAATGCACCCTGCGCTGATAGCTGATGGCACCCATCAATCGAGTGCAACCTCATGAAGGCCCTGAGCCGGGCTCAGCTGCGACCACAGCGAGTGATCGGATTCCCTTTCGCAGGGTAATGGCAGCAAGTGGCAAGAGCGCCAACTGATAAAAGCCCCGCGCCCAGCGGCCCCGCCCAGGTGCGGTCAAGGATGGGCACGGTTTTAATTGCGCCACAGCTCGAAAACCGCGAGGCGGAAAAGAAACGCCGAAAATTCCTCCGAGACTTCCGCACTCGAAGTCTCGAAGGGAAAACTACGGCCAAGGTTCCACCCTCTTTTTGCAGCAACATCTAATCTGCGCAAAGCTGAGAACTGCAAAAGTTGAACTGCCAAGCCAAATCAAAGAGTGTCCTTTCTGACCAGCCAAGCTGCCTCTTATGCAAACTGGCCGGTGCGGCCCCAACGCAACTCAGTCGAAAATCAAATCAATGTCTGCTCAACACACATCGAGGAGTGCCGAAGACTTGCCCAGAATCAACATGGAACAACTGCATCAAGAAGCAAGAGCGCCCTCTGCCATTCGAACATCGCTACCGTACCTCGCACTCCCATTTCAGCTATCTCCGAAAGCGGATCGCGGATGATTCATATCCAAGGCTTCCAGTCACATCTAAAGCTATCTGGTTGCAAATCAGCTGGCGCAGAAGCAAATGATTGTGTCTCAAAATTGGGAGACCCAAGCTGGTGTTTTGTCTTTTGGCTAATACCCTCAAAAACACTCTCTCTCTCTCTCTCTCTCTCAAACGGTCTGTGTGAACTGGAATCCAAATCGGTGGCGTTTTGTTTATCTGGCCGAGCCGTGTCAGTCGATCCTCGTCTCCAGCTCCTCCATCTCAGGGAAGCGCTGCACGCCTGCCACACCTCAGGCGAGGACATGCGAGGCGAGACGAGGTTACGATGCACTGAGCCAGTCGAAACACGTTGAAAACGGCTCGAAGCTTCATGAAATGTCTGAAAGGTAGGCGCAGCTCAAGTGACGCTCAGAATGATTTGCTCATCCAAAAGGATGTTGGACAATTGGTACTTGTCCCCTGGTTGTGGGGGATCTAGACTTGCCCGCTGCCCCTCTGACCGCTAAGTTTCACCAACCTTCAAGAAGGCCTGAGGACTCCAAATGGTTTCAGGTGATATAGCGCGGCGGTGCTTCAACAGACAAGCGTGAGGGGCAGGCTCCTGTTTGAGGCCGTCTTCAAGAGTTTCCTTCAACTCTTCATGGAAAGGTGCTTGAGGCAGCCAAGGGCTACTGGAACTCCGCGCAACGGAAGCTGCGGGTTGCAGCCTAAACATTACGATTCTCGTGTTGTACTTAAACAGAAATGCGAAGAAGGCTGAAACATCTCACAAAGCATTAGCAGCCCAGATTTGACAGTTTGACTCTGACCAGTTGGGTCCCCTCCCAGTTTTGCTACCCAGTTGTCCGAGAATGGTGGTTTCCCTTTGGCTTCCCTTTAAACCCAACCCGAAAAATGGTACCTCAGCTCCCGGCTCTCATCCTCCAGCGCTGCCACGATAGCCTTGGAGAGCGTCGACACGGTCACCTCAGCGCACTCCGACCTTGCTGCTTGCGAATTGTCCATTACGCGCACGGATTCGACCATGGCTCTCATGTCAGAGTCGCGGCCCACAGCGCCTCTTTTTCACGAAAGCTAGCGTTGGCCAGCTGAAGTCTCTACTTTCGTAGCACGCTAATAGGGTCAACCCGCCAAACACGTTGGCACTTACAACTCTTTTGCTGGAATTGATTCCTTCAAGCGAAGCTTCAAGTTGAACACATGTGTTCAGGGTGCCTTGATCTCTCATGCGCAAAGCCTACGTTGCCCCCCAAAAGCATGCAGCTTGCCAAAGGAAACACCCGGAGTTTGAGTCTCGATACTGTTTTCCGTGTGGCGATGGTGAACTAACCTGGTCAACCTAAGGCTCAGTTCCTGGGCCGACGGCGGTCTTGTCCACAAAGGGCACACCCACTGCATTCAGCAGGTTGAAGACGGGAATCACTGGCCTAAGCGGTTCTCTATTGCCTGGATCCCTGCCACACTACATGTACCCAAAACAGTGGTTTCCCCGAGGGCACAAAGACATGCCCATGTGCACATGCTTCGCTGCTATTTCCGATTACCTTGAGCAATGTTTCACCATGAAAATGAATGGTTGCCAGCCCAAGGAACCTCTGCATCCCAGCACATTCAGTTCAGTGCATGGAGAGGGTCCAGTGGAGCAAAGCATTGGCTCCGATTCTTGACTCCCTTGAAGTCCTGCCAGCAGTGTTCCCTTTTGGGGTGGTTTCAATGATTCGAGGCCCTTTAACCGAAACCCAGCATTTTTGCAGACAGGCATGGCGGCTGTACACTCTTGCGGTCTCATTGGTTCTAGTGCCAATTCGACCCGCGGCACAAACCTGTCCGTTTCCAGCTTCGTAAATCCAAAGAGGCAAAGTGAGCCCTTACGAATTGATGGAATGCCCCCTGTCAAGGCCAGGGGGCTTGGGCCAAAGCCCAATCAAAACGCATCTCGAATTTGGAGTCTCACTGGGACGCCCACTGGGCCTTCCAACCTTCTACACTGAGGCTGGCGTCTTTCCTGGTGCTTTCGCGTGCGTTGTCGAAGTAGCGCGTGTCTGCACCGTTGGTCCTCTGGTGGACCAGGGTCAGCTCCGCGATCCACTGCCTCGCTGAAAAATGAGGCCACTTCTAGTGGCCAATTGCTTCCCATCCAACCAAAACTACCTGGTCACTCTACATATGTAACTAATATGCATTCGTTCTTTAAGTCTAGTCTTGTGTTACTCCCAAAACGCGGGCTCCCCAACCATTTCCCAGCACCGCCTCAGGGCGTCGTCTGTGTTGGGCTGCGCGACCATCTCACGGATCTTCTCGAGGCACTTGGCAACCGTGAGGGAGGGGTGCCACGACTCCCGCAAAATGTCCAGGCACAGCTTGCCGTTCGCGCTCACGTTGCCTCAGTGGGTTCCCAAAGAAAACAGGGGCTCACTTTCCCTACTTGTGATTGTTGAATCAGGGTAAAAGGCCCACTTGACACCCCCTTCAACAAAAAAGAGGGAAGCACAAACGGTAAACGCAACCCACCGGGTTGCAATGGTAGATGGGGGTCTTGAAGGAGATGTTGGGGGCCCGGAAGGGGTAGTCGCTGGGGATGAACACGTCCAGGGCAAAAACGCCGCCTTCGAAGGGGGTACCGGCAGGACCTTCCATGAGTGCGCGCCAGAAGCTGATGTCCTCAGAGGGAAAGATGTGAATGCCCGCGGCCACCTGCGATTGGGCATGGCGGATCTTAGCCTGAACAGCCTCCTTGTGGGTCCCCCCGACTATGGCTTTGAAGAAACCCTGGCTCAAATCCTGCGCCTAGGGCCTAGGGATTATCGGATTGAACATGCTTCACCCATTTGGACCTCGGTGCACTTCTTCAGCTCCTGCAGCACCCGCTTGATGGCGCCCGAGCCCAGGTTGCCCTTGCTGCACTGGTCTACTTCCGCCATGGAGACCACCTTGGCACATTCGGGATTTCCGGATCTCCCACTTGTGACAAGCGGTTGCCATCCCACCAAGTTTGAGATCAAACTGGCCTTTTCACCCATCCAGCCCTGCCTTGGCCTTGGCCAAGTGCTCCTGCTTCGCGTCCTGCACCCTCGGCACGTGGCTGCCCTGGGTAATGTCGCGCTCCTGTCACTGGCACCCCAAATCGAAAGGTGAGCAAAACCCTGGTGGGTTTTTATGTGTTGTCCAAGGAAAAATGGAACATCGAGTCACAGTCACATTGGAGTCGACCCAAACCAAAAAGAAGCAATACAAGCATTGGGATCCACATCAGCGGGTATTTGGGTGCTTCTTCTGGAACCGCTTTCTTTTCACACATGAGTCACCGAGTCGGACCAGAGGCGCCCGAAAACGTGCCGCTCTTAAGTCCGTCCTTGATGGACTGGAAGTGCTCCTCCCCCCTCCGCACGAAGGGCGGCTTCTCCTCGCCGCCGCGGCGCGCTGCCAAGGACACCACCGCCTCAGACTCCAGGAGCTCGAAGCCCTCGCACGGATCAAACGGATGGGCCGGATGCCCCCCCCAAATTTCTGTGAAGAGATGAGCCTCTTGGAGCCATATTAGATAACCCAAAATGGCTCCTTTGGGTTGCCTGTCCAAGAGGAAAAGGATACCCTCAAAAGGTATTCTGCTTAAATTCTGTCTTTGAATATCACTCCAAATAGCAACAACAGATGCCACCCCAAAGGTGTTCAAAACCCCGCGAAATTCCGGACCAATCAACTGTCCCCCTGCCTCCCCCAAATGGCGGATCTGGTAGCACTCCCCCTCCGTGGCGCTCACGATGCGGCGCAGGTCCGCATCCGGGTTGTCCCCCACCAAAATCGCGTCCACCGTCGCGCCGATGTCTTTCACGGCCTTCAGCGCCTCCTGCGGCGCCGCACCCGCGTTGTTCTGCCCGTCAGTGAGTACCAACACACGCAGATCCGGACTGCCGGGGCCGCCACCTGGTGCAAAGACTTGTTGCAGGTTTAGAGGGAAAACACCCGCACACACACACACAGGCCTTCTTCCCACCCAGCTACAGGTTTTAGAACTTCATTAACCTTAGCTTTTTATCCACAGTTCGCCATAAGGATCTGTTCGTCCAATTTCACACAAAGGCAATGCGAAATCCGCCTTCGAAATAGGGCTCCAGCATCTTGGCCGCCGCCAAGACGGAGGAGTAGATGGCCGTCTGCCCCCGCTTCGTCATGTCGTCCACGATGCTCTCGAAGCGGTCCAGGGCCGGCGTGGTATCCAGCAGCTTCTCCACCTTCAGCTCCGGACGTGGCAGGGTCCATAGGCTATGATTTCTCCTTTTAATGGATTCAAACATCACCTTTTAGGCCAAGTTAAAATATGTGTCCTTTGATGGCGCGATGTCTAAAGGGGAAAGGAACCCAGCAGGGTGAAACTTTGATGTGCTTGGCCGTTTAGCGGTTTAGGGAAGTTAGGTTGGTGTGGAAATTAGTCTGGCCTTTCCAATTTAGTTTGAAGAACCGAGGCAAAACAATGGCCTGGGCCTTGGCCCAGGAACACACAAAACGCCCCAAACCTCGATGACAAAAATTCCATGACCCCCAAACAAATGTCCTCAATTTCTGGGCTTCTGTGAGGGACATGGGCTCCCATTGGCTTCGCTTTACCCAACCACAATACGGTGACTTTCCAGGCGCCGCCGTGCAAAACATGGCTTCACCCGCTGTTCTGCTGACACTCTCCCTTAGCCCCGCCTGGTTGTCGAATTGCAGAAGCCCCAGGTGGTACTTCCCCTCCCCCAAGGACTCCACCCGGTCCCGGAACGCGTAGAACATGGCCTTGACCGCCTCCATGCGCGTGCGCTGCGCCACGCTGTCCCGCGTCTCGCCCTTCACCACGTTAAGCGTCACCTGCCCGAAGCTCGAGCACAAGGTCACGTTTCCCTCAGGAACCTTTGTCAACCAAAACAGGATGTGGCCAGGCTTCTTAGCTAGAAAAAACAAGAGCTAGCAATAGGGGCCAAAGTTGAGAATGCCTGGGGGAACCAGGTGATGTCCGCGAGTTCCATCTTCAGGGACAAGCTTCTTCAGGGGCCATACTCTAATGCATGCCGGGGCCCTTCGCTCGAGGTGGTCCTTTCCCATTTGGTTCCGGACACCCCAAAAAAACAAGATGATGATGATGATGATGATGATGATGATGATGATGATGATGATGATGATGATGATGATGATGATTATGATGATGATGATGATGATGATGATGATGATGATGATGATGATGATGATGACGATGATGATGATGATGACGACGATGGCGATGGCGTGATGAGGTGACGATGACGATGACGATGATGACGATGATGACGATAATGACGATGATGACGATGAGGACGACGAGGACGGATGACGAGGAGGATGCGGATGAGGATGAGGATGAGAATGAGCATGAGGATAACGATGTGATGATGATGATGATGATGATGATGATGATGATGATGATGATGATGATGATGATGATGATGACGACGACGACGACGACGACGACGACGACGAATAGTCAATAATCAATTCATAATGATAATAATAGCCAGACGACGCGTTCCTTGTCGTCTACATCATCGAGGAAGCCTGAGGAAGGATAATTCGTGTTTAAAGCAATAACAGTAATCCAACCTGAGAAGAATCAATACGGATCACTGTAATACACCTCGAGACAAGAGAAAGAGAGGGCGAGAAAAAGAAAAAAAAGAAAAAAAGAAAGCAGGCCTCCGCAAAGGGCGAGCCCATGGACCCTGAGCGGTCGATGCAAATGGCGATGACCTCCTGCACCCTCGGCGCAGGCGGCGCTGGCGGCGCGGGCGGTGGCACCGGCGCTGCGGGCGCCTCCGGGTCTTCGCAGCTGGACAGCACTGCCCAGGAGTCCGCCTGGTGGGAGTGGGGTTTGTTCAAAGCAAGAAAACCAAAAGCAAGAGCCTTGGGGGTTTTGATATTGATTTTGGAAAACCAAAAGGAAGCCATCCATTTTAGGGTTCAAATCCCTTGTTTGACACAAACCCAATCGTGGGGAGTCAATGTGCAATGGGGACTCTTTGTTGGACATGACTTAGGAACACCATCCGTTTGGCAAGGTGTTCTCCATCGAAATCCATGGCCAGTTGGCTGGGGAGCTTTCATCCCATAGAGGGGGATTTCAGCAGAACGAGTTTTGGCCATGGAACTTGAGAATCCTTGACCTGGGTGCATGGCACTTTCAGGGGAGTGGGCTGGCCAATCCCATGCTTAGAAGAGAACAACTACTGCAAAGGGGGGAGGCAGTTGTTCCTTGTGCAAAATGAGTTGGAAGGAACTGGAGGATTGCCTTTGAACAACCCAGAAACTTACAATGGACCAATTTCGCTGGGACGCACGTAATCTCAATAGCCCAAAAAGGGGGGAGCCACTCCACACCCCCTCACACCCCCCCACACCCCCCGCACAACCCCCCACACCCCCCACCCACACACACACACACAAAAAAAAACACACACACCGGCCCCGCCAGGCCCCCCAACGCAACCCCCCACCCAACCCAACCCAGGCCTCGCCCAAGTCGCCGTTCATCTCCGCCAAGGCCTGGCGGAACTTCTGGGCGGTGACCAGCTCCAGCTGCAACGCCTGCACCACCTCGCAGCATAAGCCAAGGTCACTCAAAGTGAAAATATGGCCATGGGTCAAAACCCAAACCGTACCCCCAATGAACATCTGATGCAATCCTCACTGAAATAGACTAAAATGGGTGGTGCACCTACCCCAAAATGGTACCGCATTAGATAGGACATGATGAAAAATGATGAGAGAAGACGGACAAGGCGGTCAACCTCCTTTTCCTTCACGCCTCCTCACAATTGTTTAATCTCAGCCAACATGGCATGGTGAGGAGGTAGGAAGAAGTCCATCCAAAGCTTGCAAGTAAAGGGAGAAGTGGCCAAGAGACGGCCTTTAAAAGCTGTAAATGAGATGGCTCTCACCGTTCATGCCTGTCTCATCCAACCCGCTTCAATACTAATAGAAAAGAAACAAATAATGATATCCAGCTGCAAGCTGGAAGTTCGCCAATGGCCACAAAACCCAAAAAGCACGTTGCTGGCAGATGGTCTTAGATTGATCCTGCCGGACTCACTGCCTGAGAACTGTTCATCTTCCACAGACAGTCCATGAAACTCGAGTGAGCCTCAGCCTCAGAGAATTCTGTCTTCGGACGCGCCTCCTCCGCCATCCCGAGGTTGATCAGCCGGAAGTCCTCCAGGCACGACACCTCGGTGAACTCCAGAATCTGGGCCGCGTACTCGCCCAGGCCCTGCGGGGGGAAAAACTCCGTTTCCCTCCAATCGGTTGAGTGGTTTCTGCAGGTCTGGGTGCACAGGGGCTGGAGTTGCTTCTTAATGGCTGGAGTTGCTTCTTTTTTTTTTGTGTGTTAGGCAAATAATGATGTTTTGCGCCATTTAGCACCCAGGTTGGAGTTGCAAAGGAAACCAAAAGTGATGGGTATTTGTTATATGTTGTTATCTCACTGCCTGAGATGAGCCAAAAGAAGTCTAGACTTGTTCTTTACAATAAAAATGTGGTACTAAAATGGTCTAGAGAGAACAGGGCGGCTCCGCCCCATTTATGGTTGGGATTTTCGCTTGCTTACCCTGGTTTTGATTACGGCTCAAATGGATTCTCAAAGAGCTTCAAGTCCAGGAACTCAGGGAGTGAGTTATTCTGTTCCGGACCCCCTGTTTCTACCACCTGGTGGGAATGGAAGCCAATTCTGGGATGGAAGGCGTTCCTGACTGGCTCGTCACTTTAAGGGGGTAACGTTTCCTATCACGGAAGCGTTGCATATTTGCAAGTGTTGCACATATCCAAGCTTCTTCCCACCGTTGCCTTGCTGTCCAGCCAATCCCTCACCGCGCTCATCTTGGCGGCGGCGTCAACCTCTTGCCACTCCGAGGACATGGCAATCTGCGTGCTAAGGAGCAACTAACGAAACCACCAGCCGAGATGCTGAGAACAAGCAGCTCAAAGCCTCTGAGCTACTTTACCTGCCTGCCGAGAAAGGACAGCATGGACAATGCACAGGAGCCAGAACACAAGGTCAACACAAGATGCAAGAGAATGAGTTGAGACTGCCCGTGTGAGCCGTGAACTGGATGCCAGTTACATCGCCGCCTGCCCGCCCTGCCCGAGCTGCCCGGCAGCACATCAAACTTTGTCCAGCTCCAAATGAGCGAGGGCCTCTGCGACGCAACGACCCAATTCTTGAACTGAGACAATCAAAACGCACCAAGAACCACAGGTGGCATGAGTGTTGTTTGTCGGCATGTTGGTATGCTTGTCCAAGTACCATAGTTTAGTTCGCTTCAATATCCTGACATGTCAGACACCTCCCCGATCGTCCAAGTGGTGTTTATCAGACAGGTTCCAGTTTGGTGCCGAATTCCACCATTGCGAGTAGTGAACAACTCAAGCTGGCCATGACTGTGTCGTCGCTTTACTTGCAATCTGGGCCTGTCTCAAAACTGGGGCGCCTGAAGATGGCGGCACGGATAGCGTCAGCGTTGGCGTTCAGCTGCCCTTCCACCGCGCGCTTGGCGCTGAGGTACTCCTGGCCATTCTGTGGCACCCCCTAAATCGGAACCACCAAAAATGGAATCAGCCCGTCAACCCCCAAGAAGTGGGCAAAATGAGTGTTCCCCAGTTCGGGGCACCTTGCCATAAAGGGCTAAATGAGTACACCCACTAATCTCTTATGCCCATGACCAAAAGTTGTGCTACCGTACCCCCGCAATCTCTTTCTAAATACTTAGTCCCTTGTAGTGGTGGCTTTTGTTTGCTTTGCATGGCTGGTTTCGGCGTTTCTGAGGCTCCGAGGGCTCTTAGATCAGAACATGTCGCCCTTGCCAAGTCGGCCGATTTGCCAACATTTGCATGGCTTTGCCTGACATTGCAACACTGCCTGGTGTTTGGTCTTTGTGACAAGATCTGTCTTCAAACTTTGGCTGGCGTAGCAAGCCACATACCAGGTCGTTAAGTCGCCAGCCCCTTCTCCACGGCCCCACAGCCCCTTCCTGAAGCCACTTGGGTGCCACCTGCTCCACTTCAGGGCCCAGGGCCACGTCTGGCCAGCCCGCCTGCAGCACGCGAACGGATTCGGAAGATTCTTGGGTTCCCGCAATGGCGCTGCCTCGAGAACAACCCGTTGGTTCCTTTTGCAAAGGGTTGATTTCCGCTGCCAAGGATGGATTCCCTTTGGTAACACGATCATTCTCAGACCTCGCTTGAAAAATTGGAACGCGCAGCGCGTGGCAAAGGGCGCGTTGTGTAAAGGGAACCCTGGGACGCAAGCGACCAGGATGCGGGCACAAATTAGGGGCCCGCTAGTTGGGGTATGCATGAAGCCCCTTTTGATCAAGGCAGTGAAGGAAAAAGACTGCCAGCCCGGACAAGGGTTATGAGCCCAAATCGCTCTTAAGCCTCTCGGCGCGGTCATGGACGCTGGAATGAGGCGGAGACGGGCGATGAGCGTGGATGCCGCCAGGGGCATCATGGTGGCCGAGCCGGAGGGTGAGCTTCCGGAGCCTCGCGAAGAAGAAGACCCACCACACGCTGGAGGTGAACGGCGGCAAGGGGTGAGCGTAAACCCTTTCTGGAGCTCGCGGGCGGTGGGAGAGGCCGAGCTGAACGCGATGAGACCTGAGGGTCTGCCCAAGGTCCCGGACACCGGGAGTTCCCGAAAGGTGGAGAAGAAGATGGACGCTCGGGGAGGTGCCGGTGACGCTTTTGAGGGAGTTTTTTCTGGGCGAGAATATGAAGAGATTGGTGGCCACCCGGAAGCTGCTGGAAGTAGAACCAGGACGGAGGAGTTCTGGAGCGAGATCAGGAGAGACCTGACGGTGGAATTGGAAGAAGCAGGAGCGGCTGGAGTAGCCAACGGCGGAGGACATGGTCCTGGAGAAGAAGGACAGCACCTAGGTGAAGTTCATGAACGTGGGGATGGAGCTTAACTACATGAGATTGGAGGAGGGCTGCATCGTGGAGAAGAACGGAGACCGGTTGATGAACAAGGGCCACCGGTGGAGATCATGGGTAGACCTGGTCTTATGCGAGGAAGACCTGCGGGGCGAGAAGGTGATCTCCGGGAACCAATGATGGTTGATCCGCGGTTTGCGCGGCCAGTGGATGAACAAGGAGAACAGGATGGTGGACGGCGTCTACGCGGAGGACCAGCGCCGAGACCTAGCGCGAGACTGGACCTTCGTGAAGGACAAGTACATGGGCAAGATCAGGTAACACATGGTCGTGATCAGACCGGGAGGGAAGCTGGACGAGCCGCGGGGACCGGAGCAGCCGGCTCATCGAGGAGGTGGACCTGTGAAGGGCAAGGCCTGAGCCTTGATTGGATCTGGAATGACGAGCACAAGGTCTGGGTCCCGGAGAGACCTCAACGAGATGAGGAGGAGCTCATTGGTGAGCTGGATTTGGATGTGGAGATGGAAAGGAGTACCTCTTCGGCGTGATCAAGGAGTTGAGAGAGAAGGTGCGGAGAGGTCAAGAAGAAGCACAGTTCTGGAAGGAGCAGTGCGAGAAGGTAGAAAAGGAAAAGATGGAGGAAGGGGAAAGGTTCGTGACTCCTGTGGCGGAAGTGTTTGAGACGCCTATGACACAGGTTGTTGCTCCACTACCCCCACCACCGCCACCGCCGCCGAGGCCGGTGGCAAGGCCTACATCCAGGACTACGAGCACACCGAGAGCGCGGACACAGTCACCTACAAGAGATCAGAGGCATACCCCGGGAGGAACTAGAGTGCCGGAAGGTGGACCGCCTCAGGAGGTGACGACCGTGGTGGAGCCGGAGAGATGGGGGGCTGGGTGGGAGGACCAGCAACAAGGCTCCAGTGGATGGTGGTACCAGAACTGGAGCGGGATGTGGAACTATTGGGACGGCGAGGACCGGAATCCCAAGGCGGAGACGAAGCCGCCGGACCAGATCGAGACGGGAGGAGCTGGAGCGAAGGTGGAACTGCCGGAGCTCGCGTACGACTATTCTCCACTCACCCTGGGGGATTGGTTTGCTTTGGTGGGCCCCCAGATGCAGGATCTTTCTCAAGGAGCTGCTGAGTGGTGGAAAAGTACCATGGAAGAGGCGAAGAAGCTTTACGAGGTTTGGCTGAGGAGCACTCCCCTGGACCGGCTCAAGATCACGGTTGGGATCCCGGAGGCCCTCAGAACCGCAAGGTTTGTGCGGACGGAGCAGCGCGGGGTCACTTTGCTGCTGCGAGCGATCCCGGAGGAGATCCGCAAGTTGATCTCGGCAAGGGACATCAGCAGTACGGGAGTGCTGTATAGGCTGCTGGTGACTTACCAGCCTGGTGGTCCCGGAGAACGGTCCTTGATCCTCAGGAAGCTCACGGACTTGGGTCAGATGAGGACGTTCGGTGAGGCCGCGGTCGCCTTGAGAGAATGGAGGAGGTACTACCTAAGAGCGCAGGAGATTGGAGCCTCGCTGCCAGACCCTACGCTCCTGGCTGCTGCATTGGAGAAGGTGACGCAGCTGGTGAATCGTGGAGGGCCGCAAGCATTTCGGGTTGCCCAGGCGCGGACACAGTTGGGGCTAGACACCACGCCCACGGTGCAGAGCATTTGGAGCTACTCCGAGTTGCTGCTTGCGGAGATGGACACGGCAAGGTTGATGACAGTGGAAACGGCCAAGGTGAAGGCGATGGCCACGGGTACCGTAGCGGAAAGGCCTGCTCCGGACTATGCGAAAAAGGAGACGAGTACGGCGGTGTGCAGGCACTTTATGTCGGAGCATGGCTGTCGCTTGGGAAAAGGGGGCAATTGGAGTCACGACTGGGAGTCAGTCGGGGATCGGAATGTGCGGTGCTGGATTTGCGGGTCGAAGCAGCATCGGAGACCGGACTGCCCGGTGAAAGGTGGAGGAAAGGGCCAGCCAGCGAAGCCGGCGGTCAAAGCCGCAGTTCACGAGCCGAGAGACGGCTCGGGGGGAGGTGGTGCAGCTGGTAGTGGTGGAAGTGGTCCGGCAGGAGCGAGTTGGAATGCAGGAGGAGCTGAAAAGATCAAGAAAGCGGAGGTTGAAGCTATGTCGGGGACAGCGCCATCTACAGGTGGGGGAACGGGGGAGCTGTTGGCGGAAGCAACACAGCTTCTTAGGTCCATGAGGGCTCCGTCCGCGAAGGCAATGGTGGTGATCAAAGAGATGAACACGGCAGTCATCAACAAAGGGCTGCTAGATGGAGGAGCAACTCATGCGCTGCGGAAGTGCAAGGATCTGGAGGAGTGGGAAGCCGCGACGCCGACAAAGGTGATCCTGGCGGAAGGAACCACTTCGAGGATGAGGTTGAAGGATGGGACCCTCACGCTGATCACGCAGGAGGACATCCAGCCGATCGTGCCCATGGGTGTTCTTACCATGATGGGGGTACGAGGTGGAGTGATTGAGGAGATGGAGCGCATGGAAGAGAACCATATGTTGCGGTTGGCAGCGATGAAGATGCCCATGGAGCAGCTGAAGGACAGACCGGAGCTGGCCATGACCAAGGCGCTGAAGGAGTTCTTCCCGGGGGTGCCGGAAGAGATCATGAGCCGGGTGATGCCCAGCATGGAGGTGGACGGGGACGAGCTGCCGTGGAACAGCAGAAAGAGGCGGACGTTTGAACGGGCGGAGCATCTCGTCATCCACTTGTTTGCGGGTGCGAATGAGAAGGAGTGGATGGATGGCCTTGAAGGTCGGGGAGTCGTGGTGATGTGTGTGGACACGGCCATCGACCCGGGCCAGGACCTTCACAGGCCGCAGGTGTTTGCGTACTTGCTGAAGTTGGCCAGGACGGGCAAGGTCAAGGCGATCCTGGGCGGCCCACCGTGCAGGACGGTCTCGGCCTGCAGAACGAGGAGTCCTGGGCCCAGGCCGGTGAGGTCGGTGGAAGAGCCCTACGGCA